AGTATTATTGAGAAAATATTTATTCTGAATTTTAATGATATATCTCACCAATTGCAAAATATTTTTGGTAAAAAGGCTCGCATATTCACTGGGGTTGACATATTCGGTATTTAGGGGCTTTATGATAATTTTTATAATTTTCAAAGGTGAAATAACATACTTTAAAGCCATTATTTGTGCGAAGTTTTACTGCGGTACCTTCACTTGTACTTGATTTATATATTGTAAAGTAAAAGGATCCGATGGAATTTAAAATTGTATTATATGAGCAGTAGGCGTGGTTGTAGTCCGATTTAGCCCATTTTCGCAATATAACATATGTTTGTCAGTACAAGCTTAAGCTTTTAGAGAATTAACAACAACAATTAACAATTGTATTTATTATTAGAAAAGAACGAGTTTAATGCAAACAGAAAACCAAATAAATTCCTACATTTATTGTTTAAAATTTTTTTAAAAAATACACGTTAAGAAATAAACTCCCCCACACGCATACACAAATCAAAGAATAAAAGAAAAAAAAATAATGATACTCATACGCACTGCATACCCCCTCCAAAAGCAATAAACCCGACACAATGAATAGCAGAAATGTAAACAACCATCTTACACAAATAAACAAAAAAGAGCGAATTTGCTGCATTCTCAACGGAGAGTCACTTAACGGTAAGTAGGGAGTTTCACTACACAATTGATTATAGCAACATGTAACTGGTTAGCTGGTTGTTGGTGATGGCTGGTGTTTGAAGGACACAACAGTTTAGCGCCACATAGTCTGTGGGCACCAGTTACGGTGCTGGTGAAGAGAACTCCATGAGATGAGAAACAGTGCGCGAGAGAGTGAGAACAAAACATTGAAATTTAATGTCAAAAACACATGTTTAAAAGCTTGCTGTAGCAGACAGAGGCTGCGAGTAAAGCAAGTGTGAGGTGAGAGCAATTGACTTTTGAAATTTGATGTGCATAGGCCATATTTGAGGGAAGTAAAAATGGTCTGCGGCAAAGAATAGCTATTTTGAAAATAATCATACTGTTTATGATATTAATGTTTGAAGGTATGATGTTCTTATTAGAAGACTTCATTGTCTAAATCCATCTTTGAATGTCTATTGAATCTTCACAAGAAAATTCCTTTCCGGTATGATCAAAGGAGTTTACGTATTTTATATACTAAAAAAGTCATAAGGGTTTCAAGAAGAAATAAAACACATATACCATAATTTAATGTTATGGCCAATATTAGCTTTATTATAAAAATAAGGGTTTGCCATTATGTTTTAAAAATCTCGGGAAATTGACCGAATTGTGAGTGAATTTAAGCCGAGAAGTGCAGTTCTCGACCGCTTTTTGCAGCAATTAGGGCCGTTTGTCAGCAATAGCAAGCTGAAACAGTGACTTTGTGAGGATGTAACGGCGTCTCAACAATGGCATGTGGATTAACATATCATCACTCTAAATGCAACAATTTTGTTAATTACGTTTCATTCAACCAAAAGTGAGCTTCATCGCTGCACAAAACTTCTTGTGAAAATCAGGTTCGGTGGTCATCTCGTTTTGAGTACATTCATCGAACGTGTGACGCGCTTAATGGTCGTTTGGCTTCAATTCTTGCACGAGTTGGATTTTGTAGGCCTGCAAACCAAAATTCTTGGGCTCAGCGGGTCTTCTTTGATACCCTGCTCCACAGCAGCAAGCGTTATCGGTGCGGACTCTACGGCGTCTCTGAGGATGAGTATTATTCATTAGAGTAAAGCAAAGCCGATTTATGGTTGCTCGAACTCCCGACCATGATGGGCGATTATGTTGACCTAAGATTGGATGCAGCGCGCGACACGTTACGCGAACCGAACCATGAGAGTCTGTTTATTAAGAACTGGCAACCCAAACTGAGTCTAAATCAAGCTGTCAAAAAGGCCAAATACGAAAACAGTATTGCCTCATTGAAAACCACACGTTTAAAAAAACACCAGTTATGTTTGGACCAGAGACTCCATGTAGCTCTACAATTATATGTGACAGTCCAACCTCACCTTGTTCAACGTCCATCTGTTAAAAAGAAGGCAGAATTTGATCATATACAAGTATTTTTCATAATGCTCTTTACCAGGGTCTAATAAATGCCTTAACTGACAAGCTTATCAGCCTTGCAATAACTCTTCAAAACTTTGTATACAAAAACAGTTAGCTTTACTGGGTTTTATAATTATATTATAAGATGGCAGTTTATTGAACGATGAAAGGCGAGGTGTATGTTAAATACCCCGTTTTTTGATATGACACTACTTTAGCGAAACATGTCCTTCCAACGAAGAACCACTCCTCCATTCTCACGCTTCTATTGCCGCTTGTTTTGTATTACTTTTTTACGTATGATTTTGTTCATTGGGTTAACCAAGCTTATATCGACTAACATACTAATTATGGATTGGATCATGTAGAAACAAAGTGAAGAAATAATACTTTAGGAAAAAAAGTTTATAAAATTCTGAGAACATTTAAAACATTCATAGTAATTGCTATCGAGAGCGATACCTAGATTTCAAGTACCTTCCAATTTTTCGAAGGCACTTTTGTTGTAAAAGATATATTAGCTTCAAAATAACTTTATTATTGGCGATTACTACTGTGTAGCTTTCGTACCGAATGAATAATCATTTACGATATAGCTAACACGTTTCTTTGACATTTTTGAAGAGATAACTAACTTGATCAACTGCATTTTAGGGTCATACAAAATCTTTTTGTGAATCTTTTTGTATGTTCTGACTATGAAAGCCTCGTTTGGATATCCCGCTCATTTATCGTCTTCGGCCCCTACATGGCTCGTATGGAATTTAGCAAAACACACACGGATCTCAGATAGACCTGTTCAAGCTACTTTTTAGATTCAGCAAACGCACACATTTTTGGAAACGTTTTTCCAAAATACCGAAACTAGCATCACCTAAAATAAATTCTCGCGAACCAAATATCTGAAAGCTGAGAAATTTATGCACAGGTCGTTTGAAGGTTAGATTTAACTGTTTAAAGCAATCTTGATTCAAAAACTTGATTTGCCAAAAATAGTGGAATTTGACCATGGCTAGAGGAATCTTTAGTAATAATTTCTTTTATTTTATGTGCACCGATTCTTCAATATATACAAATACATATTGTACATATATTTATGTTCTCATACAAATATACACAGTCATCTTCACAAGTATGCCACCTGGTGGTTTTTGTCAAAATTAAGGGCAACATACTCGCAAAATTAAGTATGTACATGAGTGCATGCCTGCTCTCGAAATTTGCCATACCCTCAACGCAGTGGTTTCAAAGTGCTGTGCTTCACCAACTTAGCATTTTTGTTGATAACGACGCTTTAATGTGCGTGAGAATAAAAGTTGCTCACTTTTTCATATTCTTTCGCATGTTGTGCTCATACCCTTTTTGTTTCTGGGTTTTTTTTGTGATATGCTGTGCGCGCACATGGTCCAAAGTCAATGCAGTTAATAGTAGCACAATTTCATTTGCTTTTACCACCCACATGTTAGATGTAGCATAACGTTTCAACATAACTTGTCCAACAGCTGAAAATTTCCCAACATAAAGTTTAGGAGTGTAAAACTGAGCGCTAAAACATTTGGAGAGAAAAATGAGTGCTGCTTGCTCTCTGAGTAAAACTTTTCGGCAATCATTGTCACCTTGCTTCTCTGATCGCCTTCTGTCGCGTTCATTACATTCTTCTTAAAGAACAATTTAACACCGTAAAGTGGACAATTGCTGAAATAAATTGCATATAAATAATTTTTACTTTTAAAAAGGACTTTTACATTATAAAGGACTCAAGACGCCTGGATCGATTTTAATGATTTCTTATTTGCTGAATTCATCTCCATCTGGAATAGCTGGATAACTATTAAAATATCGGTCAGATTCACCTTCTCTTAAGGTGGCTAAAAAAGTAAAAGTTTGCGGGGAGATTCTCCACCAACCAGAGGTATACTGGCGGTAACTATCTATCAACTCTAGTTTCCGGCTTCCTGACCATTGCGGCCTGTTCCAAGCGTAAGTGACTGCCATTTAGGTAGCAGTAGATCTACTACTTCAGAGTGGTGACTATCCAATCCGATTAGCCTTGAGCTCGCTGATTGTACGCTCCAGGTTAGTGAAGGGATGTCTAGACTTCATATCTCTCGCATTGATATTCTTCATCATTATAGTGATTTGAAGAAGTTCTAACTGAACACTGTCCAAATGGGATATGTCCGGTAAGACTGGTACATTTTGCCGGATGCCAGTTGCAGAAGTTTCTTAGTAGAATATCAGATAGAATCATCTTAACACTTTCTTCAAGGCAAAAATACCTAGGATCTCATACTTTTAGACATCCAGGTCAAATAGTGAACTTAGAGATCAAGCACCTATGCTTTTTCGGATGGTTCATCTAACCAAACTTAACTTAATAGAAGTATGTAGTCGATTTAGATCACGACTTGGAAATCCCAGGAAACAGTGACCATCACTTTTCCGGCCGATAGGAAACACTTCGCCTTCTTATTTACAATAATTTCTTATTTTATTTTAAATTAGGAGTTTAAAGAATTTTTATATGGTTTTGAAATATGTATTTCTTAAGTTATAGAAAAGTTGCGTACAATATTACCAGCAACAACGCTTATCTGCCACACTCGACCCACTGTGCCCGATTAGCCATTGACAGCTGGCGGCGTTTAGTCTCTGGTGCTGCTGCTGCTCTGGGAATTTCTTGTGCTTACCATGCACACATGCATACATACAAGCAAATAGGCCTGTTGTTGCGCGCTTGGCCACACAAGCCGACGCTTGCTCGGTCGGTAGGTGGGTGGGCACGGCTCTTCGCTCTCGCGCTTTGCTTACGCTCACCACTTACAACTCATTGCCGCTGCTGCTGCTGCTGCTGCTGCTGCTTAGGCTGCTGTTGCTGCTGTTTGGCGGCGTTTGTGCTTTTTGGCAATTGGCATTAGATAAGAGCTTTCAGTCCCGGATTGGCTGTTGCTGGGTAATGTTTCGAATTCTATACGAGCCGTGGCATCGCGTACGTTCGGTCGAGCATTAGCACACACATCCTGCTGTTGCGGTTATAGCACCACTCAAAACTGCTTCCTTAACCAACTCTAACCTAATAAATACTTCAAAGAAAGTACTAAAAAAACTGCTCGTAGCTTAAAGAAAATGTGCAAAAGTAGTGTTTAATTTATAAGTGTTGATTTGTGGCCGTAATGGCACTTTAATGTAATTGTATGATATTCAAATTGTGCAATTGTTTCGCGACGCGTTGCGTCTCCCACTTCTCCTCCCCCCACAAACTGCATAAGTGTGTAAATTTTTGGCAATGTGCATGTGTATGTGTGATATTTTTTTGTTTTTTCAAACTTTTTGGTGACATTGGCTAGCAGAAAATATTGCATTTATAATAAATATATAATGAGGCAAAAACATACACATACCGTACATAAAAGCACATGTGTGTGTGCAAAAGTTGAGGAAAATTGTATAAGCGTTATGTGCATTAGTGTGTAAGCTGCAGGAGTTTTCTAATATTGCTCGGGGTTATGAAAAGTTTCAATATTTTACACGTGTGTAAAAGTATATGTATATAAGCAGTTATATACGTGCATAATTATATAATAAAAAGTGTCGAAAATTTTCAAAAAACGATATGAAATTGAAAACTTGTCGACTCAAACCTGGTGCTGTGGAATAAACGCGTACGAGACGGTTCAAAAGCTGGTGTTTGATTTGTAAATAACGCTAATATACATACGTAGATATATACTAGTATATATGTACAAAATACATTTAAAAAAGTTTTGTAAAATAAATTTTAGTTCAAACAAAATGTAAGTTAGCCTAACACCTATATTTAAAAAGCAACAACGAGAAGAATAAGAAAAAGAAAAAAGAAAAGAAAGAAGAAAAAAAGAAAAAAAAAGTAAAATAAAAGAAAAAAAAGAAAAGCAGTAGAAAACTAAAGCAGCAAAAGAAAAAATAGCTAAAAGCGGCACAAACCACATTTAATTAAAAACAAAAGTCTAAAAAAAAAATGCTTACATGTGCACAGAATATTGCGGATATAATAGAATATTGAGACCCGAAAATCTGTGGTGCTTTGCGTGCGCTACAAAGTCGGTCAAAAACTTGCAAAGAGCTCTACGCCAACCATAACCTCACACTTTAACACAAATATTACGCTTACACACAGCATCAATTGGAACACCAGCCGTGGTAGGCATACACAAAAATAACAACAACAAAAACAGTGCATGAAGACAAGAACTACGTAGAACAACGTTAGCGACAGCGGAAATTGGCGGCCAGGCATTTGGCATTTGACGTGGACACCAAAAAGGAAATCATTTTAGCCAACATTTTCCATACGAAATTTACATACACACATACATACCTATATGGTATATACGTGCGCACACAACATGCACACACCCACACTCATATACGCGGTCGTTATAACTCTTACTTGCATGCGGTTTAAATGTTGGGCCTTGTAGCGCAGCAGACAGGCGGCTGCCGCGTGGTACGCGCTCACGAGTTACAAACATATCCACACAAATGCACACACATATATGGCAGCATAGCGCCAACAGCCAATACTATTTTCACATAAATAATCCTTTCCAATTATTTTCAAAGCCCCCATCTTTGGCTGTGTTTGTGCTTGTGTGCGTGTGTTTTTCTTCGTCTTCTTGAGAGATCGTAAAATTGTCGAATATTTTTTGGCAACTGCATTTGCGACGGCACAGATGCGCACAGCCGCACCGAGACCAAGCAATCAACCGACCTACCGTCTGACCCTTCAACCGTCCATCCGACTGCAGTGGGACATAATAATTTGAGTAAATCAAAGTTGTCGAGACGTCGTTGTATAAAGCAGACCAAAGTGGTTACATAGTTTTGCCTATAAGTCAACGTGACTAGTCGAGGGTGTAGCCAAGAAAGTAACAAGTCAATGATGTGGCCAAATTGCCGTTATAAGCAAATAAATTAAAATGCAATTTAATTAGTGTGAACAACTTTGAATTATGGGAGTTTTATAGCATTGTGTGGAATACATTTTTAAAGGAAATAAAAACAGGGAAAAACGTTAACTTCGGTTGCAGCGAATCTACAAGGATTATACACTTGCTTATAAAAATCTTTCCATAAAAGAACTTGATTTTAATCGTTCAGTTAGTTTGGCAGTTATATGCTATAGTGCTCCAAAATGGAAAATTTCTTCAGATATTGTAGCGTTGCCTTGGACAATAATCTCTGTCGAATTTCGTGAACATATCTCGTAAACTAAAAAAGTTTTCCTCACAAGAACTTGATTTTGATCGTTCAATTTGTATGGCAGCTATATGCTATAGTGGCTCGATCTAAACAATTTCGTGGAGATAACACGTCAACTAAAAAGGTTTCCATACAAGAGATTTATTGTGATCGTTCAGTTTGTATAGCAACCATACGCTTTATTGGGCCGATATCGGGGATTCCGACAAACGAGTATCTTATTAAGAAGAAGAGGATGTGTGCAAAATTTCAGGCCGGTATCTCAAAAACTATGGCAAACCTAATGTACCCTATTCAGGGTATAGTTACTGATCGAAAGCTAAGTTTTGTTGTAGCTGAATATTAGAAAATCTATCGAATTAACAAGAACATAGAAAGACTTAAAAGGTTCATGTCACGTTCTATGTGAAAGTGATTAAAGCCACTTGCATAAATTTCCTTATTTTTGGGCAATCGGTTCGTGAAGTATACTATTTTGACTGATGCTAGTTTTGGAATTTTTCCGGATTTGGCCTCCAGTGACATTTTCTTGTCACTTAGAGCTTCAAAGAATGCACGCTGGAAAGTATTTGGAGAGTTTGAAGCGAAGCGGTGTATTATTCTGGATAATAGTTAGCAACTATCTCCCAACTTTCTGACAATAATTTTATTTATAAAAGCGAGTTTTGGAAAATAAAAATGCGATTTCAGCCAAGCTGGTACAACATAAATCAGTATATTTGTCATATTAGTGCACGAATCTGTATAAATCACTAATTTTTGTTAAGCGACTTAATTTTATATTCTCTTTAAAATACACGGACAAAAGTTAGCCAGGAGGACGAAAATCATTATATAATATTAGGCATATGAAATGTAGAGAACGTCTGAGCGCATTTAATCGATTTTTCGCTTTAAGTCAAGCTCTGCTCATCCAATTAAATGAATGTTATTCTATTGACTGATATAGAATTAACCCACATTCCGGAGCCCCTCATATTTGATATATGGGAACTTGGGAAATATATGAGTGGATTTTCCACTTTTGAGAAAAAGTTGATAAATATCAAGAAGGCTAGTTGTATTCAGTTAGATTTCGATACCATTATTGATACTTGGATAACTCCAACTCTAATATGCAATGTTGTATAAGTTTCATTCAAAAATCAGAGAAGAAAAATCATATAGGCAAGTTTTTATGTGCAGCATCTTCCTACCGGAAATATGCTTGAAACTTTGACATTGTTTTTTGAGGAGCGAGCGTTATAGTAAATAACTTTTTCTGTTGTATTAATAAGTTTTCATCTCGACCGTTACATCAACCACTGACCATGTCTCTGAAAAGTATTTTCATTCAAAAAACTATTTTTCAAAAAACAAATGTAGATAAATGAATATAGTAATTTTAGTTGGAGTAGATAAGTCGAAAAAATGTAAACTGGCTTGAGAAATGAAGAAGAGCCCTTTTGATGTGAGACACACATTTCATTTAGTAATTTATAATAGGAGACTTCTAGCGTAGGTAAGGTCCGCAAATCACTGGAATTACATAAATACAATTCAATTGATTGCTTAAAATAATTGGAGGCAAATGTTAGAGACTTCTTTACACTGTAAAATGATAAATAAAAATCACATACGTGATTTTAAAGCTACCATGTTATTCAAAACCAGACATCACATCTGGAATTACCAAACTATATCATTATGTAGCTATATTAAGTGAAGCTATATTATCGATACTTGCGATTGTTTTGCAGCTGTAAAGACCCATTAACATATAACTTGCCTCGCTTTACGTGACAGTTTATACTGACACAACGAAGTGCACAAAACAAGGGGTATGCCACAAAGCGTAAAAAGGTGACAATTGCCTTCGAGTCGTAAACTTTTTATGTGAACATACCCGTATAAAGCGTACATCGAACTTTTTTATTCAAACAAATGTCTGACGCAAAGCGAAGCAAAAGCACTATTTGAATTGGAAATAAGGTTTAATAGGCTTTGGTCAACGTCAACGTAATAGTCCATCGGCTTGCGAAAAACAGCAGCTTCTTACCGAACTAATAATCCGATTATCCAACTTGGCAAGCAAAAGATAGATTTGGTTTTTTTATCTTACAAGTATATAATTTTTTTTCAGTCAAAAACGATAATGTACTATTTATTGAATTTATCGACTGCTGATCACATTTATAATATTTATGTGCTCATAAATGATTCAAATACGTTTTCATTCAATTTTTTTTTATCAGTTTTATTGAATTAAAGTTAAAAAAAAATTTTTTTTAATCTAATTTTGCCGTGCCAAATATCATCTCAATATTGAGCAAAAATTTGACTTTTTTTTTTCAAAGTCTTAGGTGTGCCCCTAACTTGTGCTAACTTGTTGAAACTTCATATTTTAATATTTCATAACTGTTTTCTAATTGATTAAAACTTTTTCATACATGTGGCAACCCTGCTCAAAAGACTTCTTCTACTATCCAGTAAAAAAAAAAATTTGACGTAAGAAAATTCCATGTGAACCACCCGATACAATTTATGCACAAATAGCTGCTTACGTTTAGCGCAAAAGTGTACGAGGAAAACAATTAGTCAGTACGTCATTTGTGCCAACAGCTCTTGGTAGCAAGCAGCGTATGTTTCATAGACGACATTGAAGCCCACAGTATAAATAAAACTACCGTTATAACGGACACTATGCATCACCCCATAGCAATACATACGTAAATTGTTGCGAAACAGGAAACTACCGTAAGAGGAAGGAAACCGCGCCACAACTACTGCACAAGCAGCATAAAAGGTCAGGCTTTCGGGCATTGAGTTGTTCGATTGACTGCAACGGGACTTTTAATTGTGTTACGAGTTGATTTAAATTTATTGGGTAATTGTAGCTAAAAGCGTTTAATTTGCGGCGAAGTTCAGTATGTAAAATGGAGTTAGTGCACAGCTATTTGTAGACAACGAAGCTTGTTGTTGGTGTGTTATTGCTGTGTGTGTGCTTGTGGAGGGCCTTTGAATAGAGTAGTTAGTTGAGGCTTCAGGCAAGCGCCGCAAATGAATTGACCAAACAATACAAAACAACAGAATGTGTTGGAGCGATTATGGTTTTGTGCAATTATTGTTTTTGTTGTTATTGTTTTTGGTTTTGTTGTTGTTTCTCGTTGTTTCTGGTATAGTTGTGTGCTCCGTCACAGTCAACGGTGCAAAAATGTAATGAAACTCAAGCCGAAAATACACCAAGTGCGCTGACGTTACTCTACGGACGCTCATACACACACCAGCATACACGTAAATCACGTTTTAACTTCCGGTTGAAATGGCGTTTCCTTTTGTGTTCGAGACGGAAGCAGCCGATATTTTATAGCGTTTAAACACTTACTTACTCACGAGCACATTATTACGTACACAATTGAATGAGCGTGAACTTGTAAAAGCACACACACACAAATATACTCGTATTAGGGTGACCGTTATTTCCCAAGCACATTTTAATACCCTGAATATTGTAAATTAAGTGTGGCACGCAGTTTGTAACACAGAGAAAGATGTGTAAGAGACCCTATCCTATAAGTATATATACATATATAAAATCAGCGTGACCAGATCAGTCGATTTAGCCATGTCCATCTGTTTGTCTGTCCGTTTGTCTGTATATACGCGAAGTTTTTAAGATATCATTCTGAAATTTTGCACATGTCCTTTTATGTCCAAAAAGCTGCTCATTTGTTGGTACCGAAGATTTTGGAACATTATAGCATATAGCTGTCATACAAACTGAATGATCGGAAACAAGTTCGTGTAGTAATCCTTTTCATTGGACGAGATATCTTCACAAAATTTGGCATGGAAACTTCCTTTATTTGTGAAAGATATTCTAGCTCCCTGAACTGAAGTGAAGCCTTAAATGTGCAGTTAACGTTATGCATTTTTTCTACTGAGCATTCATCCAAGGGCCATATAAATTCTGTGTTGCTCAAACGCCATGACGCTGAGTATAACTTTTAAAGGAATGTTTTTATGAAAAAATTGTTTAAATCTTTTTTGTAAAGCAGAAAACTTTGTATTAGAATACGACATTTTGAAAGTTACATAAGATTTACTTCTTTAATGTAAAATATCAAAAAACTCCTTGTTATGTATGAAAAAAAATATGAGTAAGGCAGGGTTCAAATTAAAAAAAAAGCTTTTTTACGTTGGATAATTTTTTTTTGTGTAAAAACAGAAACTTTAAGGAGCATTTGCAAAAAACAAAAAAAAAACCACTTGGTAATTAACGGATACCCTAATATATACATGCGATATGTTATATATATCACGCATACTCGTACATATATACTTGTATATATATTATATAAAGTTTGCTCGAACAAAATGCCTACTGCGCTGCCTTTGTCTAGTGCGTGTGCATGTAGGTGTATGTTTGTAGGCGTGTTTGTGTCCTTACATGTATATGCATGTGTATTTGTTTATGTGTGTTTCGCCATGCGTCAATGCGCTTTCTTTTACTTTGCAGTCTTCGTCGCCACCGCGCTTCATTTTTGCGCTTTCTGCTTTCCGAACCGCAATACTACAAAACAACAACAACAACTTAAATAAAATAAAAATTGAAATAAAGAAATAATACGAAGAAAAGTGCTAAAGCAAAAACAAAAGTGCAGGAAACAAAAGAAAAACTCAACAAAAGAAACGCCGACGAAAGGAAGAGACAAAGAAAGAAAAGCCAAGCAAAGCAAACAAATAAACAATATACTGGCGTTGTATCCTTGTGTGTGGAAGCAGTTGCGGCGCACGCCGACGCCCGCTCCCCACTTGACAGCCTTGCGGTCGGCGCCTCGCTTACGTCGGCATTTAAATAACGTGTGCATATGTGTTGTTGTTGTACACGTACATTGAATGCGTACGGCCAGTACGCTATCAGCTCGTAACGGTTCGTTTGTTGGTTGGTGCGCGCACACTCACACATATATAAACGTGCGTGAGCGTCGGTGCGATTACCTGCGCATTGTGTTTACGTTGCGGTACGCGTGTGTATGCCATTGAATTAGTAACGGTGATTCAACTGTGAAGCGTGACAACGAATATGATTAAAATTACACGTAAGCGGTTAAAGGCAACGCAAACGTTCGCAACGAGTTGAATTGTGTCGAGTTGAGCGTGAATCAAATTGCACGGCATTGCACGCGGCACACGGCCAGTGGCGTTAGTGTGTGTAATTGTATCCATATACATACTTATTTGTGCATGTGAGCAGCACTGGTGCAGAAAGAAACTGTTATAAGGCAACACATTAAAGCGTTGACGTTGAGGACACCCTAATTCTTCTATGATTGCGCTTAGCAAACAACAAAGTAAGTTTACAACTGCAAGTCGCATTATGAGCTTAGAAACTAACTATATTATATTTTGTTTGAATACATACACATATAATAATTTTCTATATCCTGAATAGCATATTAAATCTTCACGAAAATTGACAAAGATTATTGGTTAAGACAATACTACATTCTTCGAAGAAATTAATCAGATCGGACCACTAAAGCATATAGCCGCCATACTAACTGGTCGATCAAAGCTTTCTGACATATACTAGATTTTATCTTGAATATCTACAGTCGTAAAAAGACAGTTTAGCCATTCTGGGAGTATCTATTTGGAACCAAATATCAAGACATTCTTCTAAAATTGACTGAAAAGCAAGTGAATTACGAATCATATATAATTTGTCTAAGGAAAAAATTACTGTATCCTTTGATTTATCAGTTGCAATTATACTTGTCCACTTCAAATAAACTGTTTATAATTTTTTATATTATAATTTTAATCGGTACGAACTAAGATTTAGGTATATCCGGTCAAAGCCTATAATTTTTGCGGCATTGTTCAAACTATTCTGGGAGTATTTTCTGCCACTACATATTCTGGAATATCCTAGATAAATAGAAAAATTATTTATGAACTAGAGGGGTTAGACCAGTCTAGGGTGTTTTGATAAGCGTAAATTTTGTAGTGCCCTAAAGTACATTTTAAGATCCTAAAAACGTTATACGATTGAGAGAATACTGAAAAAATATTTCTGTATAGAAACTTTAACTGAGCTTTACGGTAATATTATCTAGCAAACTACTTGCGATTTTTTGGTATTATTGAATCCTCTGAACCTGTATTCGATTAATAAAAAAATCAGTTACCATTCAAATCAGTTGATGGAAGAACAATTTTTAGAATAGAGAAGGCGCTATCACTCGGGAAGTTACTTTAGTTTTAAAATGATTTTTCATTTATGTGTCATCATGCATGGCCTTTGAAACAAGAATATCTTGTAAAATCTGGCATTATTAGTTAGTTATTAATAAACTGAACTATCAATTTGTTGCGTGTTTGTGAATAATATATTAGAAAAGTCCCGCAGCATACGACATTCTATGTTTTGACACCGATTTCGACAGCATATAATGAAATTACTTTTAGATTTGCACTTAGTACTTTACTTAGCATTTAACGAATTACCCACTTTAGGCTAATTTTAGCTAATTTGTTACTGCGACGCTGTTGACATATTCTAGAATTGATCACTTCACAAATTGATCACGAAAAATATTCTAGTGGTACGTACGATCTTGGAGGCCATGCCACAGACCCACGACGAGAGATAATGCACTCAACAAAAGTTTAAAAAATTAATTGATTTTTAATTTAATTTAAATTGATTTGTTTGTTGGCTCTATGGTACATAACGCCGTCTTGTTGGAACCATAGGTCGTCCACATCAACATCTTCCAATTCAGGTACGAAAAAGTTATTAATCATGGCTCTATAGCGTTCCCATTATCTGTTACATTATGGCCGCCTTCATTTTTGAAGAATATGGACCAATTATTCCCTCTGTCCATAAATCACACTAAACAGTGATTTTTTGAGGATGGAACAGCGTCTCAACAATGGCTTGTGGATTATTACCGCTTCAAATGCGGCAATTTTGTTTATTACGAGGGCTGCTATATATATTTCTGGCCTAATAATGAAAATACGAATATTTATCAACGAAAATGGCTTTTTTTTCGGTCGATTGCTGTTTTGTTTCGGGCTCATACGCATAGATCCATGATTCGTCAACTGTGACGATCTTATAAACATCTTTTGAAGCACCGCCATCGTATTTTTTCAGCATTGCTTTACACCAATCCACACGAGCCTTTTTTTGAGCGATTATCAAATTGTGCGGGATCCAACGTGATTCGGCCAGGTGTTCATGCAATATCGAATGTTTGCTGTTGGGAGAAATGCATAGGCATGCCCCTATCTGAAGGTACGTTACATGACGGTCTTGCATCGGCCACGATTGAATTCGTTGTACCAGTTTTTCCCAGTGCTATAGGATGGTGCTTCATAGCCATACAAAGATTTTAGTTCATCGATGCACCCTTGTCGTGATAATCCACGTCGAAAGTTGTGAAAAATGATCGCACGAAAATGTTCACGAGTTAATTCCATTTTTTGGCCGAGATGAATTTTTTAATTACCTTTAAATAAAACAATTCACGATTAAATGACAAAACGTTCTGAGTGATGTTATGCTAAAAAATGTCAAACTTTCCAATGGAAATGTCAGAATGCACCTGGCAACACTTAGTGTTGCCTAGGCCAGCCAGCTGTATAACAGCCCTCGTAACGTACCCATTAAACCAAAAGTAAGTTTTATTGCTGAACAAATTTTCTTGTGAAAATCGCCAACACATCTCCAATTGTTGCGCGCGATGACGGATAGACTCATTCGGTATTCAGCACTGTATGGCTTCTTCGATTTTATTAGGAAATTACAAACTAAATTGGAAATAAATCAAGCTGACAAAAAGACCAACTCCGAAAAAAGTATTGTTTCATTGAAAACCACACGTCTACAAAAAAAACCGTTATCTACATCAATCGCACGCAGCTCATATTGTTTACACATACATTAATTTTAAATTTCACGAATTCAAATCAATTAGTATTGTGAGACTGTTATTAGAGTGATATTTGAGTGGACCAACTTGTTTAATTTTAAAATTCTGAGTATTTTTAATTTTACTCTAACCAATATTTTATAGTTTTTCATTGCAAATTTCTAGCTGAGTGAGCTAAGTTGCTTAAAACCGCCGGCATATATTTCTATTTTTTATAAAGTTTTAGATTTTCGGGCAGCAATGAAATGAGTTGCACAAAAATGAAAATTTATCTTTGGACTGTTGATGGATTGTAATTGAGTAATTTTTAGCTTGAGAATTGTTCAGCTGCATAACTTTTGTTCCAATAAGTTCCAATTCCTAATTAAATTTTTAATTGTCATAAAAAAACGCTTAAAAAAATTTTTCAGTATCTAAGTACTACAACAAAATTTTAAAGAGCTTTCTCCATGATTCATAAATTTTTTTCTTAACCGTTATGCTGGACTCTCGGGAAGTTGGATATTGCCCACTTACGTAATGTTGTTTCAGCATCTGTCTTTGATTGTAAGGTTTATAATTTTTATTTAAAAAAGGTTAAAATAAATAAAATTACGTGATTGTAGTAAGCAAAGCTTATTCCCCAAGCAACAGTTTTGTTTGATTTACTTATGTTACTCCAACGACATGGTGAAAGTAAATAAGTTTTGTGTTTTGCCAAAGCAATACTCGTAGGTGTAATTAATTAGGCTGCAGTGTGTGCTAAAACAATTTTTTAAAGTTTCAAATAATTTTTACGCCCAACAATTTTAGATATGTATTTATTATTATATTATTAACTTATTTTACTCATACGACATGGTGACCAGAATGAAAATATGTACTATACTGTAAATATAAATATGTAATCAATTATACTATTTATTTCTGTTGATATGTAATTCGCATTAATATTGGCATAACACAAATAAAGAATATATAATTTTCAATTAGTCAAATGCTTGCAAGAATTTTAAATGAGAAATCCCTTCAGTAGAGAAATATTCCTCATACGCCCTGCTCACCTTATCTTCGTTTGTATTGGAAATCCGCTCTGTGTGATATATTTCTGGGGAGTGAAAGTAAAACTATATTCCAAATAATAAATATTTCTTATATTCTTTATGATTAAATTAAATAAAATTATCTAGATTTCAATTAACTTGGCTTATTTACCAGATTATTATTTTTCATTATTCGCTAAGGTTACTCATAACTCATGGTAACATTTAGAAAATAAATGTTTGGCTTCGCTAAAGTAATAAGTATAAATATATTATTAGTAATTGCTCATTACAATATTTTTGTTATGCCGTTCCTATTAGCTTGTTCAGCAACAATTTCAGAAATTAGTATTACTTACTGAAGTTACTCATACGCCATGGCGGTTTGTATGTAAAAGCAATCGTGGAAATCGTTCAAATTTTTTAATAATTAATAAAAAAAATAAAGATATTCGTAAGAAAAACTAATGTATATTTTCCATTAACAGTTAATATAATTTTGAAGAAATTTTAAATAGAAATCATATCTACGGTTTGTATTGCAGCTATATACAATACAATAGTGACTCGATCTGAACAATTTCTTCGGAAATTGTAGTTTTGCTTCTGACAATAACCTATGTCAAATTTGGTCAATATACCTCGCTAACTGAAAAATTTTCCATACAAGCACTTATTTTCGATTGCTCAGTTTGTACGACAGCTATATGGTATAGTGATCCGATCTGAACGCTTTCTCTAAAGATTGATACATTGCCTTAGATAATAAACCATGCCAAATTTCTTGAAGATATTTCGTCAGATGAAAAAGATATCTATACAAAGAATTGATTCTGATCGTTCAGTTTGTATGGCAGCTATATGTTATATGTTATACTAATACCGGCGGTTCCAACAATTGAATCAGCTTATTTCGATTACAGATAAATTTTCGGGAGAAAAAAAGTGTTATTTTGCTTTATTTTTAAACTCGGAAAATTTTTTTTTTAAGTCTACGTCTTACTTTGGCATCTATAAGACATTATAGTAGCTATGCTGGGCATAAAAATATGCTCCCTGCAGGGTACGTAAATCGCCTTTCTGCTACACATGTGCATGCATCGTCTATATACCACATATATATATACACACACATACGAAAGCAAGTGAACAATTCTCCTCTGTTGCCCTCAAATCATTTTCATATTTATTTGCTTGCTTGCAGAAATGCAAAATGATACGAAAAGTGTTAAGTAATAGCTATCAGCGTTGAACATTATACAATCTGCCACATATGTACGAGTATATCTATTGTATTGCATGCCACATATTCAATATACAGAGCGATGGTGCTCGTTTACTACTTATTTATATAAATGCGCCTTATTTCATTTCCTCGCTGGC